GACAGCAGTCTGACTTGTGTTGGAAGTCTGAAGTGTACAGAGTGAAAACGAATGGTGAGAGTACAGTTCCCTGTGGTGCTCCTGTGCTGCTGACCACCTGGTTAGACACAAAGTCCTTCAGTCTCACAAACTGTGGTCTGTTTGTCAGGTAGTCTTTGATCCAGGCGATTGTTGAGGCCTCCACCGGAGTCTTCTGGAGTTTCAGACAAAACAACTCACGCTGAATTGTGTTAAAAGCACTGGAGAAATCAAATAACATGATCCTCACAGTGCTGCCTGCTCTGTCCAGATGACAGTGGGTTTGTTGAAGCAGGTGTATGATGGCGTCGTCAACTCCAACTCCACGACGATAAGCAAACTGCAGCGGGTCCTGATGTGTGCTTGTTTGCTTACTCAGGTGGGTCAAAGGGAGTCTCTCTAGGACCTTCATGATGTGGGATGTCAGGGCAACAGGTCTATAGTCATTGAGGGCTGATGGGTGAGTTTTCATATCAAATACAGTTTTTATATCATATATATATACTTCATTTAATTTTGTAATTACATGGAAAAAAATCTTTAGAAAAATTGTAGCTATTTTGAAGTCCAGACTGTAAATAAATTTTATTCGTAATGAAGGACTTTACTTTTGAAATTTCAGCAAAGTTGAAGTGAAACTGAAAGCAGTGCTGATCACAGCAGAATTGTGGTGGAGATGATCCTGACTTGGCAAATGTTTAAAAATGAAACATTTAGAAGAGTAACATCTACTCTGAAAACCATTTCATAAAGAATTAAAAGTTAATAACTGAAAATGTCATCTGATATTTCTGTTAGTTATTCAATTAAATAAACTGATCAAAGTACTGTAAATATACAGTTTTTGCTGGTATGTTTGTTGTTAAAAACATGCCACTATATTTATTTAAAACATTAGTCAAGTATTAGGTATTGAAGAAAATTGAAAAAAATAAAGCTAAAGTACTATTTGTAAATCTCAAATAGCCTAGACAATAAAAACATTTTCCAAACATTTTTTTAAGATGAGTAAACCATGAAAAAGTGTAACTTCTCACAAGTGACAGCACTATTTTCAAATCACATGTATAAACATCAAACTGTACCTTTAGTGAAGTTTAAAGGCAAAGCAACGCCATTCGTATTCGTGTGCGCCAATATGGTCTTTCTGCTCGACAAATACATGAGCTGCTCAAACCCCAGGCAGGTGCCCCACACAGGGAAATAATCCCCCCTCTTGTTTGCCTGAAACATGACACATTTGACTCAACAGTCCAACTGTAACACGCTGAAATTGAGCTACAAAAATTTTATATTCTCACCTCGATGGCAAGCTCATAGAAGATTTTCGCAGCTCTCTGGTAACCAGAAGAGATGATGCTGACACCTCCACCTGGGTACAGGATCCTGTCGAAGAAATGCCACGAATCAAAAACAGAACTGCACACAACAATTTCAATGGGCAGTGTGTCTTTGTAAAAGGTGCTGATATAATCCAGTCTGATGTTTTCACATCCTGGACTTGTAATATTCAAGCAATGCTAGCTGATTTTACTACACAATAGTTACTTATTGTAGTTTTCTTTGTACATTCCTGTAATATTTTTTTTTTCCTATTTCATGGGAGTGTTGGTTAATTTGTTTGCCAGTTTGTACCCCCATCTTGTACTTTAAGGCTGACATTTTTTAAAGGGATCCAAGATTAGTTGTAACATATTGTAGGCTGTTCAGTTTTTATCATTTTTAAACTAAAAGTTTAAAAATATATAACACGGAAGGGTCCATTTTATTTACACGCAAATCATTATTCTGGGTAAATGATGACATGGTCCTCGGTGCGAGGCTGTGAGCGAGCTATATCCACCCTGAAGG